TATATATATAAAGAAAAGCTGCTTTTTGATGTTTGATCAGTCACTATAGGTGCATAGATGTGTTTTCTGTAAAAATATATAACATAAGCTAGTTTTTTTAATAAGGCTCCAGGACTTGTAGATTATTTTGTTAGGGGTATATAAAGTTCACTGCAACAGTGTGTGTTAGCATCAATCTGAAATAGTTTCACCAGATAACATGAATCTCAGCAGTGCAGATATTTTGGTTGCATGTTTCTTCACTCTAAAGAAGAATGATGAAGAAGTCAGAGTCTGGATCTGGAGTGGAATTGGTGGTTTCTGTCTGAGAGATGCTAAGTGATGCTGAACTCAACCTCCTCCATCTCTTCCTCTGTGTCTGCCTCGAAGACCAAGTCCTGAGCCGCCCTCGCAGCTCTGGCTCTCTCACTGGCCGGGATGTAGTTGTCTTCGATGAAGCCATCGTCATCTTCCTCGCTCATGGAAGGAAAAGAGTGAGGGTTCACGCCGTGTCCCCTGCGCACGTCAAACTCCACTTGCAGACCTGGTGGTGGACAAAACCAAGCGTCAGTTCAAGGTGAGTTAACCGTCAGGATTAGCTGTAAATGGATGTCATGGTCTCTCACTTTTGGCTTTGAGTCTTTTTCAATTTGACGTTTTTATTGATCATTACAATGGACCATTTCATAGTCACGAGTACTATAGGAGCCTATTTCTGGGTTAGAGGTCAACCGAGAAAACCCTGAGGTTGCTTTGAAAACACCATTGGAAATGAGCAAATTCAACAAGCCGTATGAAAAATCTCATCTATGATTCTAACGGAAATTAAAGTTGAACATGAATCAGTTTAGAGCAAATACATCAGGTGTAAATTTGCCGGTTGGATTTGTACTATTACAATGGCATTTCCATAAGGCCCTGTCACACTAGACAGCTTATGCCAATTTATGAAACATTTTTATGTCTAAATTTCTAATACAAGTTGTATATTTGATCAGTTTGTTAAAGGGGCAATATCATGTAAAATCAACTTTTTTGAGTTTTATATCATGTTATACTCTCATAAAAACATGCCCAAAGC